TTCAAAGGACTTGACACACCCCTTTCCTTTCTACCTGCCCTGCTCCATCACATGCTATTGCCCACTCCTACCCCACGTATCCTAACTCAACCCCCAAACCACTTTCTGAATGGGCAGATGAATCTGGGTTTTTGTTGGATTTTCCCTCCTGTATCCTTACATAAATCTTATCGTCAGAAAATGCGATGCAGGCAGGGCGACAGTGAGGAGGGGCTGAGGACTGCACCTCCCAAACCCCACCCCCTTCCATGCTGGTGCAACGTGGCCGCAGGCCCGACACACCTACTCCCCACCATGCACCTGATGCCACGGACGTTCTAGATTCCAACACGTGCTCTGCGGCCACGTGTGCATTGGATGGCGTGAAACTCCTGGAGACCGCCAGGTGCGCCCACCCCAACCTCTGTCTCCTTTGAATATATATATATATATATTTTTTTTTTTGGACAGGCAGAGTGGACAGTGAGAGAGAGAGAGAGAGAGAAAGGTCTTCCTTTGCCGTTGGTTCACCCTCCAATGGCCGCCGCAACCGGCACACCGTGCTGATCCGAAGCCAGGAGCCAGGTGCTTCTCCTGGTCTCCCATGGGGTGCAGGGCCCAAGCACTTGGGCCATCCTCCACTGCACTCCCGGGCCACAGCAGAGAGCTGGCCTGGAAGAGGGGCAACCGGGACAGAATCCGGCGCCCCGACCAGGACTAGAACCCGGTGTGCCGGCGCCGCAAGGGGGAGAATTAGCCTAGTGAGCCGCGGCGCTGGCTTCCTTTGAATATTTAATTAGGCCCTACCCCAGGCACCATCCCTATTCCATAGCAGGATGACCCCCAAATCTTGCTCGTTGCAATGCTAACTTCCTCCTGAGGCTGCCTGTACCCCTGTCTGAATGTAAACTTCCCCTTTATTTTTAAATGCATCTCACATTCCTGCTCCACGTTATCTACATCTCCTTGAGTTCTTTCATGTGTGGAGACAAGAACCTAGGAATAACTCTCTCCGCCCACCAGCAAAGATGAATTGTTTTTCTAGTAGTGTGCATGAGTGGGTTGGGCCTATAACCTGACAACACTATCAAAAACACAAAGTGGCTGTTTGTCCTACCAGTTAAGACACCAGGTTAAGGCCGGCGCCGTGGCTCAATAGGCTAATCCTCCACCTGCGGCGCCGGCACACCGGGTTCTAGTCCCGGTCGGGGCGCCGGATTCTGTCCCGGTTGCCCCTCTTCCAGGCCAGCTCTCTGCTGTGGCCCGGGAGGGCAGTGGAGGATGGCCCAAGTGCTTGGGCCCTGCACCCCATGGGAGACCAGGAGAAGCACCTGGCTCCTGGCTTTGGATCGGCGCGGTGCGCTGGCCACAGCAGCCATTGGAGGGTGAACCAACGGCAAAGGAAGACCTTTCTCTCTGATTCTCTCTCTCACTGTCCACTCTGCCTGTCAAAAAAAAAAAAAAAAAAAAAGATACCAGGTTAAAACCTCTGCATCCCACACTGAAGAGCATAATTTGATGCCTACCTCTGACTTCTGACTCCAGCTTCCTGTTACTGCAGACTGTGGGAGGCAGCGGTGATGTCTCAAGTAACTAGGTTCCAGCAACCTACCTGGGAGACCCGGAGAGTGGTTCTCGCTCCTGGCTTAGGACTCAGCCCAGCTCAGGTTGTGGTGGGCATTTGAGAAGTGGACCAGGAGATGGAAGCACCCTCCCCGCACCCCCTCTGCTTTTCAGATAAATAGAAGTTAACTTTTATAGATATTTTATTTTTTTAATTTTTATTTATTTATTTGAAAGGCAGAGCTACACAGAGAGAGGAGAGCAGAGAGAGAGGTCTTCCATCCGATGATTCACTCCCAATTGGCCACAATGGCCAGAGCTGCGCCAATCCAAAGCCAGGAGCCAGGAGCTTTTTCTGGGTCTCCCACATGGGTGCAGGGGCCCAAGGACTTGGGTCATCTTCTGCTGCTTTCCCAGGCCATAGCAGAGAGCTGGATTGGAAGTGGAGCAGCCAGGTCTCGAACCAGCACCCATATGGTATGCGGCACTTTAGGCCAGGGCATTAACCCACTGTGCCACAGCGCTGGCCCTGATTTTAAAAAACACATATTGAGGCCGGCCCTGTGGCACAGCAGGCTGCCATTACCTACAACACTGGCATCCCAAAGGGGCCCAAGTCCAAATCCCAGCTGTTCCACTCACGATCCAGCCCCTGCTAATGCACAGAGAAGGCAGCGGAAGGCAGTGGAAATGGTCCAAGTGCTTAGGCCCCGGCACGCACATGGGAGACACAGATACAGCTATAGCCTCCTGGCTTTAGCCTGGCCCACTCCTAGACATTGTGGCCATTTGGGGAGTGAACCAGCAGATGGAAATCTGTGTGTGTGTGTGTGTGTGCACGGCCCTGTTTCTCTTCCTCTCTATTTGTAACTCTGCATTTCAAATAAAAAAAATCCTAAAAAGAAACAAACATGTTGCTACCATGCAAATGTAGTCACGTATGAAGGAATTTCTGTTGTTTTTAAGTTCCAAGTGCCGTATATTTTCAATGTTAAAAACAATGTCCCTTAGATGTGAACAGATATGTCATAAAGAAGGCCCTTAGAAGATGTGAACAGATATGTCATAAAGACACTCAACATCACCAGTCACCAGAAAACTGTAAATTTAAGACATAGGAGGGGCCAGCGCCGCGGCTCACTAGGCTAATCCTCTGCCTGTGGCGCCGGCACCCCGGGTTCTAGTCCCGGTCGGGGCGCCAGATTCTGTCCTGGTTGCCCCTCTTCCAGTCCAGCTCTCTGCTGTGGCCCGGGAGTGCAGTGGAGGATGGCTCAAGTGCTTGGGCCCTGCACCCACATGGGAGACCAGGAGGAAGCACCTGGCTCCTGGCTTCAGATCAGCGCAGCGCGCCAGCTGTAGCAGCCATTTGGGGGCTGAACCAAGGGAAAAAGGAAGACCTTTCTCTCTCTCTCTCTCTCTCTAACTCTGCCTGTCAAAAAAAAAAAAAAAAAAAAAAAGACACAGGAGGTCCCAGTACACACCCCTGACAATTCCAAGTGCTGCCAAAGGTGTGGAGCAAATGAAATGTCACACACTGTTGGCGGACAACAAAACGCCACAACCACTGTGGAAAACAGTCCGTCCGTTTCTCATAAACATGTGACCCAGCCATCAGAGTCCTCATATTTATCCAAGAGAACAGAGCCTTATGTCCAAAAATGTCTGTATGAATGTTCAGACATTACTCCAATTAGTCAAAAACTGCAAACAACCCGAATGTCCATCAGCAGGCAAACAGACACACTAGCTGGGGCACAGCCATGCAACAGATACACGGTGTCTGAAATGCACAACACAGCAGGTGAATTTCACAGACGCATCCCAGCCGGTCGTGCGAAATCCTGGCAAAGCTAATGTACAATGACAGAAAACAGAGTATGGCCAGCTCCAGTGGGAGGCCATACTCCAGTGGGAGGGAAGTTTTTGGGGACAACAGAAAAGTTCTACATGTTGAACAAACTGTACACTTGCAGGGGGTACATTTCATTATATTAAATTACACCTAAACAATTTGATGCTAAACATTTGTTACAAAACTGGATGACACGACAAAACAGAAAGTTTATCAACCTGTTGTGCTCATTTAGATGAGAAAATGATTAACCGGTACCCATTAAATCAGCAACAGTTTTTGTTAACGATACAGTAGCTAGTACACGTGTTTGCTTTCCACACAGTAGGCACTGTTCTAAGTGCTTAACCTGGATTATTCTATTTACACTCCACAAGACAATGCCATTATTGTTTAAGTATAGACACTGAAGCTGAAGCACAGAGGGGCTGAGTTACAGCTAACAAGAGAGCTGGTGACAGATTTGGGATCCAGGCTCCTGACGTCAGAGCTCATACTCTTGCCGCTATGTCATACCACTTGGAGAATCCCAATGAGCTAACATCAGAGTCTGTTAAGTGTCTACTATTTATGACATCAAGTAGGGCTGAAAGCCTCAGACAGCTATTTTGAACAATACTCAACACAGCCCACTGGACTTATTTTTCTCCAGATTTCCATAAACCATCTTGGTTCTTTTATAAGGCTATTTCCTTAAAAAGCAGATCAGCTTGCTTTTAACTTGTCAATGTAGATAGGAAATTATTTATTGAATCAAAGCTAATCCCTTGGGAAGTTGTGTTTTACCTCTTGTACATCAGATTCTTGCTTAGTAAGCGTAACCTCAGGCATGCGTTAAGAACGACCTGGTTGGGGCTGGTGCTGTGATGCAGCACACTACACTGTTGCTTGCGAAACCAGCCTCCCAGATCAGAGTGCCAGTTCCAGTCCTGCCCCTCCACCTCTGATCCAGCTTCCTGCTAACGCACCTGGGAAGGCAGCAGATGGCGGCACAGGCACTTGGGCCCTACAACCCACGTGGGAGACCAGGATGGAGTTCCTGGTTCCTGGTTTCAGCTTTGCCCAGATCTGGCCGTTGCAGCCATTTGAGGAGTGAACCAGCAGATGGAAGACCTCTCAGACCTCTCTCTCTCTCTCTCTCTAATTCTGCCTTTTAAATAAAATAAATAAACAAATCTTAAAAAAAAAAAAAAGGAATTATGTGTTCAAGATGAGTCAGCCATCAGCAAAGAAAACCGAATTGGTCAACACAAAGGAAAAATCTGTAAGAGGAAAGAGAACTCAAGAGGGAGAACAAGAGTGAGAACGAGAGCAAGTGAGAGATTGATTTTCCATTGGCTCCCCAAACGCCCACAACAGCCAGGACTAGGTCAGGTGGAAGCCAGGAGCCAGGAACCGCATCAGGTCTCCCAGTCGGGTGGCAGAGGCCCACCCACGCACTCGAGCCATCACCGGCTGCTCTCCCAGCCTCATTCCTCAGCACCCTCCCCTCCCACCCCTGCCCCAACCTTTGCAGAGGCTCAGCCTGCCCAGGCCCCTGGAACACCCCGCTCCTCAGCCCCACCAGAAATCACACCTCCTTTATCCCTGACTGCCTCCCATCTACCTGCCCAGGCTGCTTCTCCTCTTCCTGTCCCTTCCGGGTACGTGTGGCTGCCACTCTTGGCCTGTGTCAGGACGTGTCTCCTGCTGGAGATCCTGCCAGCAAGTCAAGCTTGTTCAAACACCAATCGGTTATCCTCTCCACCCCCAGGCTGGGTTTCCTCCTGAGTCTTCTGTTTCCGCAAATGCTCGTCCTCGGGGCCAGGTGACCGGAGGGTGGAACCCACGCTCCAAACACCCAGGTGCAAAACTGGCATTTTTTTTTTTCTTTTAGGGTCTTATATGCCTTCAGTTACCAAGTCCTCTAGATTCATAAAAATCTCCCCAAACGATTTGTACATTCCTTCACTGCCCTGGTGGAATGTCTCAAGTCTGGACTAAACCACTCGGTTGCTAATTAGCTACCCCACGCCATCCTACACGCTACAGCCCAGTCAAGCCCACCCACGCAGACGCTACAGGGCTCTCCTCTTGCCCTCAAACAGCCCACGGCTCCCAATTCGTGTATCATCACAGTGCCATCTTGTTTTCCAGTGAGGCTCGTTGTCGCATCCAGCCTCATGTGTTACTACTCTCGGGGTGCGCTCTGTGAGTCTACCCTGATCGGAGCGGCTGCACCTGCTCTCAGGCCCTGTTTCTTGCGCGCCGGCACTTCCGGACAGCGCTGCTTCCCTACTCCTCCGGCCTGTCGGGATTTCTCCTATCTACAGCTCCATGCGTTGCTTACTTCCCACGTGAGCTGACGCGGGGTTCTATCCCCCATGCCAGCCTGTCACCCCAAGGGAAGGGAGCCCCGTCTGCTTGCATAGGAAGTGTGCTGCCTGGAGGCCCGTCCCCCCACAGCCTGACAACTCTGCCTTAGCAAACAAGTTGGTCAAACAGACACCTATTTCCGGCCAGGCTTGGCCAAGAGCCTGGCAAACAACAGCCTGCTTCCCCTAGCCAAAGGATTTTGCCTTATAGATTTCTATTTTAGAATGATTTTAGATCTGTTGTAAGCTGCAAAGCTAGTACTAAGAATTCCTATAAACCTATTACCGAAGCTGTTCTAAGGGTAAGGTTAGAGTCCGTTTGTCAAAATTAACAAACTCACATCGGGTCATGCAGAGTTCGTTAGGATCTGCTCAAGCTTTCCTGCGGAAGCCCTTGGTTTGCTCCAGGATCCAAACCAGGATACCACACTGCGTCTGGCACGATGTCGTTTCCACTCAAAGATCAATAGGAAAACTCAATGAAAGAGAGTGCTAAAGACACAAAGTGTCTCTGGAATGCGTCGCTAAACGTTCGATGTCGGGGAGGCCGTGAGACCGCCGGCGGCGAAGGCAGCGGGACCGCAGCGCGCCCACCGCCCGCGGAGAGCTCAAGAGCGGGCGCGCCCTGCCCGGATCCTCCCCGCCCCGGCCCCCGCTGCACCTGCCGAGCCCGGCCCCCGACGCCCTCCCAGCACCCGCCGCAGGGGTAGCCCCCTGGGCGCCGGCCTCTCCCCGAGCCGCGGCCCCGGCGCCCCCGTCTGCGCGCTCACCTGGCGCCGAACTGCCAGTCCCGCGCGCTCCGCCGCCGCCGCGCGTCCCCCGGGCCAGGTGACCGGAGGGTGGAGCCCAGGGCGGGAAAGGGGAATGCGTCGGCGGCTGCTCAGAGGCCAAAGGCTAGCAGGGCCCACCTCACTCCCACTTCAAAGCCCCCGGGAGTAATCTCCGCAGGCGCAGTGAACGGCGCCGCAGAGTGGGCGCCAGTGCGCGTAAACCGCAGGCGTCCTGAGGTTCAGAGGCCCCGACGGCCCTGGAAAGCGAGGCTTTCGGGACCAGGAAGACGAGGGCGGTGCAGGCCAGAGGAATTCCTGCCACGGGACGCCCTGGCGCTGCTCACTTCCTGCACCGGGCGCGCCTCCTGCGATGCGCCACGGTGGTGTCGCAAACCCCAGGAACCCACTAAGCCGCAACCGCTGTGTTCTTTGTCAGAACTTCTCCAAAATGCAGGACTTTAAAGGTAAGCATATAAAATGTATTATTTAGGGGCAGGCACCCGTCCCGACCTCTGATGGCAGCTTGCGGGGAGGCAGTGGTGATGGCGCGAATGACTGGGTTCCTGCCACCCGCATGTGAGACCTGGATTGCGCTACTGGCCCCAGGCATTGTAGGCATTTGGGGTGATCCGGTGGATGGGAGCTTTGTCACCATCTCTTTCATTCAAATAAATATTTAAAATTTTAAATGTTTGAAGATTTATTTGGGTCCAACACTGTGGCACAGCAGATTAAGCCACCGTTTGCAGTGCCAGCACCCCATGTGGGTGCTGGTTTGAGTCCTGGCTGCTCCACTTCTAATCCAGCTCCCTGCTAATGTGCCTTGGAAAACAACAGAGGATGGGTCAAGTGCTTTGGCCCCTGCACCTGCGTAGGAGACCTGGAAGAAGCTCCTGGCCCCTGGCTTCAGATCTGTGCAGTTGCAGCCATTTGGGGAGTGAACCAGCAGGTGGAAGACTCAGTCTCTCTCTGTCTCTCTCTCTGCCTCTGTAATTCTGCCTTTCAAATAAATAATCTTTTAAAAAATGCAAAGAAAGCATTTGATGAAATACAACATCCTTTCGTGATAAAAACCTTAAGCAAATTGGATATAGAAGGGACACACCTCAACACAATGAAGACAATGTATTACAAACCCAAAGCCAGCATCATCCTGAATGGGGAGAAGCTGGAAGCATTTCCACTAAGATCTGGAACCAGACAAGGAAGCCCACTCTCCCCACTGCTATTCGATATACTTCTGGAAGTTTTAGTCAGAACCATTAAACAACAAAAAGAAATCAAAGGGATACAAATAGGAAAGGAAGAAGTTTAAATTATCCCTGTTTGCAGATGACATGATTCTATAAATAGGGGAACCAAAAGACTCCACTAAGAGGTTTTGGAACTCATAGTAGAGTTTGGCAAAGTTGCAGGATATAAAATCAGCACACAAAATCAACTGCATTCGTATACACAGACAATACCATGGCTGAGAAAAGACTTGTAAGATCAGTCCCATTCACAATAGCTACAATGTGAGAAATCACTCAAATGAAAATTATGGAACATTTAGGAAAGAAACAGAAGACACCAAAAAATGGAAAATTTTCCACATTCATGGACTGGAAGAATTAGTGTTGTTAAAATGTCTATACCACCTAAAGCAATTTACAGATTCAATGTGATCCCAATCAAAATACTAAGGACATTCATCTCAGATCTAGAAAAAAATGATCCTAAAATTCATATAGAAAAGCAATATAGGCCAGCGCCACGGCTCAATAGGCTAATCCTCCGCCTGCGGCGCTGGCACACCGGGTTCTAGTCCCGGTCGGGGCGCCGGATTCTGTCCTGGTTGCCCCTCTTCCAGGCCAGCTCTCTGCTGTGGCCCGGGAGTACAGTGGAGGATGGCCCAGGTGCTTGGGCCCTGCACCCCATGGGAGACCAGGAGAAGCACCTGGCTCCTGCCTTTGGATAGGTGCGGTGCGCCAGCTGCAGCACACCAGCGGCGGCAGCCATTGGAGGGTGAACCAATGGCAAAGGAAGACCTTTCTCTCTCTCTCTCTCTCTCTCTCTGTCCACTCTGCCTGTCAAAAAAAAATAAATAAATAAAATAAAATAAAATAAAAAAGAAAAGCAATATAACTAAAACATATCACTAAAGCACTATTAAACAATCAAAATAAAATTGGAGGCATCACAATACCAGATTTAAAGACATATTACAGAGCAGTTATAATCAAAACAGCCTGGTACTGGCACAAGAATAAACATGTGGAACAGATTAGGGACTCCAGAAATTAATCCACTTATTTACAACCAATTCTTGACAAACAAGCTAAAATCATTCCCTGGAGAAAGGACAGTCTCTTCAACAAATGGTGCTGGGCAGATTGGATCTCCACACACACAAGTATGAAACAAAACCTCTACCTTACACCCTACACAAATTAACTCACAAGGGATCACAGATCCAAACCTAAACCAGAAACCAGCACACTCCTAGAGGAAAACATAGGGGAAACACTGTGTGACACTGACACAGGCAAGGACTCCTTGGCCAACAACCTAGAAACACAAGCAAAAACAGATAAATGGGATTACATCAAGCTATGAAGCGTCTACACAGCAAAGGAAACACAACACAGTGAAGAGGCAGCCTACAAAATGGAAGAAAATATTTGCCAACTATACATCTGACAAAGGATATCAATCCAGAATATATAAGGAGCTCAAGAAACTCAACAACAAAACAATCCAGTTAAGAAATGAGCTAAGGATATGAACAGGCACTTGTCAAAGGCTGAAATACAAATGGCCAACACACACATGAGGAGACACTCAGGATCACTAGTCATCAGGGAGACACAAATTAAAAACCACAATGAGGTTTTACCTTATCCCAGTTAGAATGGCTGTCGTCCAAAAATCAAAAAAATTACAAATGCTGGCGAAGATGTAGAGGGAAATGTACCCTAATACACTGTGTGAATGTAAACTAGTACAACCATGATGGAAGACAGTAAGGAGATTCCTCTGAAATCTGAAAATAGACCTACCTATGACCCAGCCATTCCAGTCCCAGGAATTTATTCAAAGGAAATGAAATCAGCATATGAAAGTGTTACCTGTACTCCCATGTCTATAGCAGTTCAATTCACAATAGCTAAAATATGTGATCAACTCAGATGTCCATCAACTGATGACTGGATAAAGAAATTGAGACAAATATCATGTTTTCCCTGACTTGTGCTAACTATATAAAGAGTAAAAAAATATGTGATTTATGTCGGTGAAATTGACATTCTGAAATTGTATTATTATTTTAGCCCTTGTCCATATTCCTGAGGAACAGTGGTTTTTCTACTGATTGCTGAATCCCTTATTTGTGGATTAAAGCTGTGGTTATAAAGTAAAATAAAGTATGTCATTGCAATAATCAAAAGAAAAGGAAGGAGGAGGGAGCGTGGAAGTGAGGGAAGTTGGGAAGTATCATTATGTTCCTAATACTGTATTTATGAAATACATGAAACTTGTTACATTTATATAAATAAAAAAGCAATACTCCAATGCTTTATCTTTAGTTTTAAGAGATTATCTGCATTTTTTCTGTTATAAACTTAAAAGTTATCCACCCATTTATTTAGATTTGCTTATTATTTGGCAATCAAAGCATTAAACAGTGACAATTTTCAACCTCAATCCTTAATATATATTCATGATATTTGCGAATGTTCAGTTTTCTCATGGAGAAAAGAAATCCAGGCATGAACCTTCACATCATCCACCTACTCGTCCTACAGCACAATTTTTACTGCTACACGGGCAGTTTCTACAAGTGAGCAGAGGGGGCAGCAACAGTGACTGAAAGGGCCAGTTCTGTGAGTTAAGAGTTATGGTCCTTGATCCACTGTTCAATCCATTTCAAGATCTGACTTATGTTCTCCTCTAGTTCTTCTGGTTTATTGCTGGGCAACTGATGCACAATCTCTTCCTTGTACGACTCCATTGCTTCTTCATAAAGAACTTGAAAAATTTCACACTGAATATTGTCATTTAGTTTCTTCTCACTATAACCCCTGCAAGGCAAAGAGAAATTAAACAAGAAAAGCAAATTGATTGTTAACTGGTATGAACTGGGGTTTTAGGAACATACCAGAAACTGGACATTTTGAATACAAGAAAAATCACATAAAAATACTTCTCACAGTCTCTTTACAGACTGGCATCTACAAAGAGACTTCCTTGACATAACAGCTAAACCGAGGATCATGAGACCAACATTCAGTTTCCCTCCTTTTGATCTGTCAGCCCCTCTCTTAATAACCAATCAGGGGGCCGGTGCTATGGCGTCACTGGTAAAGCTGCCACCTGCAGTGCCGGCATTCCATATGGGCACCAGTTCGAGTCCCAGCTGCTCTACTTCCAATCCAGCTCCCTGCTGTGGCCTGGGAAAGCAATGGAAGATGGCCCAGATCCTTGGGCCCCTGCACCTGTGTAGGAGACCCAGAAGAAGCTCCTGGCTCCTGGCTTCAGATCAGCCCAGCTCTGGCTGTTGCGGCTGATTGAGGAGTGAACCAGTGAATAAAGATCCCTCTCTCTCTGCCTCTGCCTCTCTATAACTCTGCCTTTGAAATAAATAAATTAAATTAAATCTTAAAAAAAATAACCAATCAGTAACCATGAGAACCTACATACCTCAAACCAGATGATCAGACATGAGATAAGGAAAATGAAATGCATATGATAAAGAATACCATATGTGGGGGCTGGCACTGTGGCTCAGCGCTAAAGTCTCCAACTGCAGCACTAGCATCCCATAATGGGCACCAGTTTGAATCTAGGCTGCTCTACTTCCAATCCTGCTCCCTGCTAATGTGCCTGAGAAAGCAGCGGAGGATTGCCTAAGTGGGTGGGCCCCTGCACCCACATGGCAGACCCAGAAGAAGCTCCTGGCTCCTGGCTTTGGACTAGCTCAGCTTCGGCCATTGTGGCCATTTGGGGAGTGAACCAACAGATGGAAGATTCTCTCTCTCTTCCTCTGCCTTTCAAATAAATAATCTTAAAAAAAAATCATATACTAATTGGATATTTGATTGCATAAATGTATCTGTACTTTCCCAATTTCAAAGACACGGAAAAAAATAAATTATGCGATCTTTAAGGCAGATGCAAATTATCCAACTAGCTAGCTAGTTAAAAAGTTACAAATTCATACTCAAACTTGTATGAATCATAATTAAATTGAATTATTTAAAAGATGACTGCTTTTATGAAAAAGACAACCCATACAATGGGAGGAAATATTTGCAAATCATATATCTTAAAAGGGATTTGCATCTAAAATATACTAAAAACTCTTATAACTTAGTGATTAAAAGACATGTAACCCAGTTAAAACTGAGGAAAGATCTGGATATTTCTCCAAAGAAAATACACAAGTGGCTAATAAACATATGAAAAGATGCCCAACATTATTAGGTATCAAGAAAATACAAATCAAAAGCCACAATAAGGGGCCAGTGTTGTAGTGCAATGGGTAAGCCTCTACCTGTGATACCAGCATCCTGTATCAGAGTACTGGTTCCAATCCAGTTCCCTGCTAATACGCCTGGGAAAGCAGAGAACATGGCCTAAGTATGTGGCTCCTGCCACCCCCATGAGAGATCTGGAAGGAATTCCTGGCTCTTGGCTTCAGCCTTGTCCCAGCCCTGGATGTGGCGGCCATTTGGGGAGTGAATCAGCAGATGGAAGATCTCTGTCTCTCCCTCTCTGTCACTCTGCCTTTCAAATAAATAATTAAATCTTTAAAAAAAGTAAAAAATAAAAGGTGGTTAACTTTACAACTACTTCAATGGTTAAAAACATTTTTTTTAATATTTATTTTATTTATTTATTTGAAAGAGTTACAGAGAGAGGTAAAGACAGAGAGAGAGGTCTTCCATCTGCTGGTTCACTCCCTAGATGGCCACAATGGCCGGAGCTGCACTGATCCAAAGCCAGGAGCCAGGAGCTTCTTCCGGGTCTCCCATGTAGGTGCAGGGGCCCAAGGACTTGGGCCATCTTCTACTGCTTTCCCAGGCCATAGCAGAGAGCTGGACCAGAAGAGGAGCAGCTGGGACTAGAACTGGCACCCATATGGGATGCCAGCGCTTCAGGCCAGGGCTTTAACCCACTGTGCCACAGCTTCGGCCCCAACAAAAATATTTCTTAGCTCTCTCAGTTGTTTGATACCTTAGTCCTTGACTATTTGTACAGATAGTAACAGGACATGTACACCATATGTTCTATATTGCTTCTATGCTCAAAAACTTTCAATGCTTTTCACTGCCTAAAGAAAGAAGGTGAAAGTTTTAGGTTCAGCGCCAATGTAATTTTCCCTGTACCTTTGCTAGTATGCCCCTTTGTGCAGTGTACAAGTGTCTCATTTAACAGTGGTTAGTCAGTGAGAACTACAAATTCCAAACCTGACTTCAGGCCAAGTCCTGGAGCTTCCTTGAGAATGCATTCCATATTCCTCTAGAATCTTCATCTGCTCACAGTGTGGCTCAAGACAGTGCAAAAAAAGTTTTTTCCTAAAAATTTCGTTTTTGGGGGCCGGCGCTGTGGCACAGTGGGTTAAAGCCCTGGCCTGAAGCGCCAGCATCCCATTTGGGCACGAGTTCGAGTCCCAGCTGTTCCTCTTCCAATCCAACTCTCTACTATGGCCTGGGAAAGCAGTGGAAGATGGCCCAAGTCCTTGGGCCCCTGCACCCACGTGGGAGACCCAGAAGAAACTCCCAGCTCCTGGCTTCGGATCGGTGCAGCTCCGGTCATTGTGGCCATCTGGGGAGTGAACCAGCAGATGAAGACCTCTCTCTCTGTCTCTGCCTCTCTCTGTAACTCTGTTTTTCAAATAAATAAAAATAAATCTTTGAAAAAAAATTTTTTTTCTGGTTATATCAAATCTGTTCTATTGATGAGATTAACTGAAGTATTTTTTTTAGAGGCAGAAAAAGAGAGAGAGGGAGAGAGAGAGAGGTCTTCTATCCACTTGTTCACTCCCCAGATCGGAAGCCAGGAGCCAGGAGCTTCCCTGGGGTCTCCCACACAGGTGCAGGGGTCCAAGGACTTGGGTCATCTTCTGCTGCTTTCCCAGGCCATAGTAGAGAGCAGGATGGAAAGTGGAGCAGCTGGGACTTGAACCAGCGGGATGCCGGCAGTGCAGGTGTCAGATTTCCCCGCTATGCCACAGTGCCGGCCCCAGAAGCATTTCTTAAAGGTTTTGAAATAGTTATCTTGTTATTTTTTTTTTTAATCATCTCTATTTCTGGGGTAGGAACAATTTGAGTGAGTAATGTTCATCCAGTAAGCAAAGAATAAGTTTTGGCTGGGCTGTTTGCCTAGGAAGGGTTTATTTTACATCAAGGAAAAAGCATGGCTAACTGGCGTGCCTACACAGCATATTTTAGTGAATCAAACTGCCAGTTGGGATACCTGCTTACTGAGTTAGAAATGCTTGCTTGTGTTTTACAAACATACCTGTTTGTCTTAGATTCAGAATGATGGTACAAGATTTGGCTTGTAACAAACCAGAGCGGTCACACTTCCAAATAAAATCATTTACCACAATAGTACTGGCCGATTTCAGGAACCTGAATGTAAGTTTATATTATGCTTTAACACTTCCACGTTTGTCCTTTCTTACCTTGTTTCCAGTCTTTTGTACAACACACTGGTATCTGTTCTCAGCACAAAAACTATATGAAACCAACGTTCAGGGAAGAAATCACAGCCGTGGTAATCAACAATAACGCCACCATCTCTCATCTGGGTATCTAACTCATCTATTACCTATAAAAGGTGAAAAAGAAACCGGAGGTCAACTTTCCTATTAAATTCAACAAATGCACACTTTTCATAAAGTCATACTTACTCTATCTTCATCTAAAATGGGACAGTTATACTCTTCATCAAAGCCATCATATAATTCACCTACAAAAGAATTATTAGCTTGTTAAAAGTGTATTTTCTAAGTAACTTTCAGTAATAGGAAAAGAAATATATCATGAATTAGTCTTTCAGATATACTGAAAAGAGGCCACTAATACAACAGATGTCACATGAATATAAAGAGCAATACTGACAAATTAGAATTTTGTATGGAGGGTAATATGGGTAGCAAAACAAGTATATCTAAAACTGTTTTAAATACTAATTAAAGGGGCTGCCACCTGTGATACCGGCATACACTATGGATCCCAGTTTAAGTCCCAACTGCTCCACTTCCAATCCAGCTTCCTGCTGTGTCTGGGAAAGCAGTGGAAGATGGCCCAGGTACTTGGGCCCCTGCACCCATGTGGGAGACCCAGAAGAAGCAGCTCCTGGCTTTGGTCTGCCCCAGCCCTGGCAATTGCAGCCATCGGGGGAGTGAACCAGTGGATGGAAGATCTGTCTGTCTCTCCCTATGTAACCATGCCTTTCAAATACATAAAAATAAATCTTAAAAAAAAAACTAAAAAGGATGAATAACCAACTTTATAATTTGTGGGGCTATAAGAAGAGGACTGTATTATTTTTGGCAAATTACGGATTGGTGGAAAGAGGGAACACATGGAATGATACAAACATACACATTAAGAACAGTTAAGGGGCTAGTGTCACAGTGCAGTAGGTTAAGTCACTGCCTGCAATGCCGACATTCCCAAATGAGTGTCAGTTCAAGTCCCGGTTGCTCCACTTCTGATCCAGCTCCCTGCTAATGCACCTGGGAAAGCAACAGTATCCTTGCCATCCATGTGGGAGATTTGGATGGAGTGAAGTGCCACTGGGTTCAGCCTGGCCCAGCCTCGGATGTTGTGGCCAACTTAAAAGTGAACCAGCAGATGACAGATCTTTCCCCTCTCCCTCTTAATCTCTCTCTGCAATTATGCCTTTAAAATAAATAAATCTTTTTTGTTTTTAAAAAAGAGAATAGATTAAGTTCCAAGTTTATTAGGCCAGTGATATGAAACTTAATAAACTTAACAACAATGATATGAAACTTAAGTTATGAAACTTAGCAATTCCAGAAGCAAACCCCTGTCACTGAGCTCACATCTTCCTAGGAGCTGGGGAAGAAGTCAGTAGTGAGATCCCCTGGGGGGCTGGCACTGTGGCACAGTGGGTTAAAACCCCAGCCTGCAGTACCAGCATCCCATATGGGCGCTGGTTCAAGTCCCGGCTGCTCCACTTCCAATCCAGCTCTCTGCTATGGCCTGGGAGAGCAGTAGAGGATGGCCCAAGTCATTGGGCCTCTGTGCCCATGTGGGAGACCCGGAAGAAGCTCCTGGCTCCTGGCTTTAGATCAGCTCAGCTCTGGCCATTGTGGTCACTTAGGAAGTAAACCAGCAGAATGGAAGTCCTCTTCCTCCACCCCCCCCCCCCCCCCCCCCGGCTCTACCTCTCTCTGTCTTTCAAATAAATAAAATAATTCTTAAAAAAAAAAAAAAAAAGATCCCCTGGCAGTATCTTTACTTCTTGGTTTCTAGTTTCCCAAAAAGCCATTCTTCCCAAGAATTCGACAGTCACATTAAAAAGTCTTGATTGATGGGCAAAGCTGTACAGAAGGCAAACTTAACATCAGAACTTTCCAACAATAACAGCTGGCTTTCAAAGAGAGGCTGATCCAGGAGAGCAGACTTAGCAATCTCATCTTCTCTCTCCCTTATATATACCTAGAGTATATCTGCTCAAATGCAGGTAGGCTTAGGCCATCCTTTAGCCATTTCTAAAAGCATGCTACTGTATGTACTAAGTCTTCTCAACCTTTTCCCCTTAATATTTTGGTACAGGTAAAATAAGCATGAGTTCTGAGGTGATAAAGGGTAGTCTGAGGTTTTGTGGAGGGCACAGGGGCAGTTCTAACTCTGTCTTGCTTGGAGGACCTGTGGTCTGACCTGTATATATGAGCCATCTCTCTAGGCCTGCCATACTTGGCTATTGCTCAGAAACTCTGATTAGCCTAAAAACTTAAACTGCCTTTGTGTCAGGGAAACTGGCTAACAATTTAGGACAACAGCCTAATTCCTTACTTTATACCACAAACTCCAAACAGATTAAAGAGCTAACATCTTATTTCAAAGAAAACCAGTGGAAAATTCACCTAGAAAGAAACGATTCATTCAACTTAATCAAGCGACAACCCAAAAATGATTCAATCATCAAAATGCTGAATCTCTGTTCAATGAAAGATAGCCAAACTTTTAAAAAAGAAAAAAAACAGACTGTAGTATGACAAAGGACTGAAAGACAGATTGTGTAAAGACCTTAAAAATCAAAATAACAAAAGTAGTTCAATGAAGAAATACTAAGGAAAGAACTGATGGGGCTGATACTGTGGCGTAGTGGGTAAAGCCACCACCTGCAATGCCAGCATCTCATTTGGGCGCCAGTTTGAGACCCGGCTGCTCCACTTCCAATCCAGCTTCCTGTTAACATTCCTGGGAAAGATGGTACAAGTGTTTGGGCCCCTGCACCAACATGGGAGACCCAAAAGCAGCTCCTGGCTCCTGGCTTCGGCCTCTTTGGCCTAGTGCAGCCCTAGCCTTTACGGCCATTTGGGGAGAATCAGCAGATGGAAGATATAACTCTTTCAAATAAATAAATCTTAAAAAAAATTCACATAGGATAGAGAAGTGGAAAAGACAATTCATGAACACACATGAAAAAGGTTGAACTTCCCTAGCTACTGAAGAGATGTAAATTAAAATGACCCTTTTTGTTTGTTATATGTCATATTTGTTCGCAGATTTCCACTACCATTAATTCCTAATTAGAAAAATGATAAAATGATTAAAAAGCTCAATAAAGAAATAATCAGGAGCCGGCACTGTGGTGTGGCGGATAGAGCTGCTGTCTTCAGTGCTAATATTCCACATGGTTGCCAGTTCGGGCCCCGGCTGTTCCACTTCTAATCCAGCTCCCCGTGATGTGTCTGGGAAAGTCCTTGGACCCCTGCACCTATGTGGGAGACCCAGATGAAGCTCCTGGCTTCAGATCAACCCAGGTCTGGCCATTATGGCCATTTAGGGAGTGAACTACAAGGTGGAAGCTCAACTGCTTACTCTCTCTCTCTCCCCCTTTCTCTCTGTAACTCTGCCTTTCAGATAAATAAATCCTAAGAAAAAAAGAAATATTTAAGTCTTGGTTTGCCAACTTAGTAAAACATACAATTAAAGTTAAAAGGGATATTCGAGTTCATGGAAAATGTGTATTATGAAAAAAACATGAGGATTTCAAAATTTTTTTATGAAAATAAACATCTTTTAATTCTACCATAAACTCTTTGAAAAGTACCCTCATACTATTTAGTCTAGATTAGGCAGCAACATTAAGTGTTATGCATAAAAATAACTCAAAGTTGTCTGCAGAAAAGCAAGAGAAAAGTAAACTGGCAGAATTTGGAGAATTTTTCCATGGTTTTTTTTTTTTTTTTTTTTTTTTTTTTTTTTTTGGACAGGCAGAGTTAGACAGTGAGAGAGTGAGACAGGTCTTCCTTCTGTTGGTTCACCCCCCAAAATGGCCACCACGGCCGGTGCGCTGTGCCGATCCGAAGCCAGAAGCAAGGTGCCTCCTCCTGGTCTCCCATGTAGGTGCAGGGCCCAAGCACTTGGGCCATCCTCCACTACCTTCCAGGCCACACCAGAGAGCTGGACTGGAAGAGGAGCAACCGGAACAGAACCGGCGCCCCAACCAGGACTAGAACCTGGGATGCCGGCGCCGCAGGCAGAGGATTAGCCTAGTGAGCTGCGGCGCCGGCCATGTTTTATGTTTATAATGCAGCTACACCTTAGTATGATTGGTGCACAGGTTCCAGCATGCTCCAATGATCAAGTTCCTCACATAAAATGACTTATTTGCATATAACCTTCTGGAATCCTCTCATATACCTTCAATTATTTCTAGATAACTTACAATACCTGGTACAACATAAATTATACGCACAATTATCATACTGTATTGTTTAGGAAACAATGACAAGGAAAATAGTCTGTACACATTAAGTACAGGGGCGATTTATTTTCAAACTTTTTTTTATTTAACATGCCAAGAGTCAGAGTTCCCATCTTCTAGTGCTACAGTTTTGGCTGGGCCAAGCAGGGCGCTAGAAACTCAATCCAAGCCTTTCACATGGGTGGCAGGGACTCAACCACCTGAGCTCATCACCTGCTGCTTCCCAGGGTACATGTTAGCAGGAGGCTGAAATTGGACGTGGCGAGGACTTGAACCCAGGCGTAGCTTAACTACTGGGCCAAAAGCCTGCCCTGATATGTTTTCAAATATTTTTTATCTGCAGTTGGTTGAATCTGTGTACACTGTTTGTTTTAAACAATGCCACAGAGACCCAAACAATATTTACAGCTGTTCTGCAATGTTGTGATCTCGAGTAGATAATCATAGGGTTCCTTCATATACTAATTCCTTGATTCTAAAAGACTACTGAAATCTTTAAAGGTATGTGCTGCCTAAAATAGACATTTATAGCGTTATTACCTTTTAGAACCAAATTCTTTATATTGCAATGCAAAATTTCTTATGTTCATGTATTTTAATACTTTAATCCAAATTTTTAAACATTCATTTCAAAAATATATATCTGGGGGCCAGCACTGTGGCGCAGTGGGTTAAAGGCCTTGCCTGAAGCACTGGCATCCCATATGAGCGCTGGTTCTACTCCCAGCTGCTCCTCTTCCAATCCAGTTCTCTGCTGTGGCCTAGGAAAGCAGTAGAAGATGGCCCAAGTCCTTGGGCCCCTGCACCCATGTGAGAGTCCCGGAAGAAGCTCCTGGCTTTGGATTGGCACAGCTCTGGCCGTTGCGGCCATCTGGGGAGTGAACTAGAAGATGGAAGACCTCTCTCTCTGTCTCTACCTCTCTGTATAACTCTTTCAAATAAATAAAATAAAAATCTTTAAAATAAAAAATATATATCTCTGAATGTATCAAATATCATAT